TTACTGTACCGACCAACAAGACGAGCAAAATAAGATATTTTATATATATTTATCTCTACTGAGTGTCTGGCTGGTTCGGGCAACTTAATTCTCAGGTCACGTGGCACAGCTCAGTTAAATAATTGACGTAAGTCAAACGAAAAATGACTCAACTCGGAATCTTTGCTAATCAGTCGTTGCCGTGTTTAACAACAGCAAACAAGAAAATTACACTTTTATAAACCACGAATATTAAGAAACCATAGCGATCAGTCATAAACAGCAATAAATTTTAGCTGGTTACAGTAAAAATACGCCGCTCTAAAGTAACCAGTGGCAGTGCGCACGTAGTAACTGAGATATATCAATAAATTGTAGTATATTGTTGTTACGGACCTTTGCTTTCAAGAACACCGGCGCCTGAGGCCTAGACTTTTTCTCGTTGTTAGGGAAAGGAGAATCCTAAAGTCTTTGTCTGGTGGGCTTTAATCCGATCAAAGATTTGAGGATTTGAATTTTGCCGACGGACCAGACTTTTTTTCCCGCGCTTTCGCTCGCGTGAGTGCCAGACGGACGGCAAGCTTGCGTAATTCGTTGTTAGGTCTAATCGTATTATTCAATCTCTCTAAATCAATTAAGGAAGTTTATTTATGGTCTCAATGAACAATACGATGCTTTAAAACTCAATAAAAACAAACTCAATATTTTGCTTGCGTTAAGGATTATCGCCGGCCCCCGCCAAAGCACTTCTCTCTGACGGCTGTCGTGACGACAGGGGTAAAATGTTTAATTGTTTTGGAATACTGACACAAATCGTTCGTTCTGATGCTGTTTGCTCTAAACAACTCTCAGCTAACTACGTTTATGCGTGCCTACTTAAAATAATAGTAATGCAGCCCAATAAAACGATTTCAGCGTTTAACACTGTCAAAAGTCTGTTCTAGTTCTTGCTCGCAATATACAAAGTGTAATGACCTGTAATGAATCAGTTAACACTAGTTTTAGTCGCTCATTACATACATTTAGTTTTGAATGATGTAGAGCCTATAAGTCCTTAAATGTCAACGAGTACTTGCCCCGCCCTTCAAAGCAAAAGCACGGATTGCCAATATTCATAAAGACCTTACTTACACCAATTCAGGGTTCGTAACTCTTAAAAACAGAGCGACACCAGACCAAATAATTAAGAATGCGAGGCTTTATAAACATATTGAGAAGTATACCATTCATTAAGTTTTATACCGATAAAAGCGTCATCTATTTAGTTATTTCATTCAGTTAACGATTTTACTGAAGAACTGAGGGGTTTGCACGCGAAATATTATTACTCCTGCCGCTGCAGTAATTGATTAGCCATCCGTTATATTTCTCTGTAGCACAAGATCTTTCTTTTTGTAGAAA